TGGACTTGAGGGGCTCAATGACCTCCTGCGTCATTATAACATATATTTTCAATCAACCAGTTCAGAAGTGTTATGATACACGTCTGGAGTACGCGGGACTTGAACCAGAGGCAGGCACACTACCACTGAGCCGCAATAACTGAACCCTCCATAATGATAACAGACTGGCCAAGGGATTTGGAGGCCTACACTTTCTCCAATGAGGAAATTCCTGCTCCACGTACAACCTATCTTTTTCCACATGTGATTTTTTTCGAACCGTTAAGACCTGTTTAACCTCTGTTATCACTGTTGTCCTTATTATTTCCAATCATAGTCGTTTTTGTAAAAAGAAAATCGGGAATTATTTCAATTTGCTGCAAAACAGACGGCCAGTTTGTGCCGTGGAACCTTTGTTTCGGCTCCGGCGCCGGGGGATGGGTTTCCTCCGCCATTACCGGAAGCGCGGAATATTCTGGACGTGGGTGAGTTACCGGAGAGCGAGCCGCCGGGACCGGGAATATCCGCTGGTGATTTATGTCTTAGTTTATCCGCCGGTTTTAAGTCGTTGCTCGTTTTCGATCGGGCCCCCTTCACTTTCCCCTCCCCGGTATTTAATGTTTCGTGGCCGCTGACACTAACTGCAGACCACATTCCTTTTTTTCAGACAGTTCTGGAGGCTCGCCACACTTGTTTCTGAATGATTTAAAATAATGTTTCTGTCAAGATTGGCTCTGCGACTTGTGAAAGCACCCAGACTGCCTGGTAAGATGAAGGGTCAGAGACACTTCTGCTCAGAGGAAAGCCAGTGTAATAACTATAGAAGCGAAGGCATTTACAATGGGCACTTAATCTCAGTGCTCCATTCTCCCCCTTGTCCGACATCCTTCTCAGCATTAAATATTGACCCAACTTTCTGTCTCAGCCATTTCTGTGCCAAAAACCTTGTTTAAACATATTGGAACATAGGGACAGGAGTAGGCCATTCACCTCAAGCTTGTTCCACCATTCACTGAGATCATGGCTGATTATGGCTTAACTCCTATATATCTGCCTTTGGCCCATATACCTTGTACTTCGTTTATGGTCAGTTTCTCATGGGTGTTGTTTTTCAGGTGATGCTTTATGAGACAGAACAAAAGGGATCACAAAACAAAAAGAATCATACCTTACACACAATGTCCCAGACACCACCATCACCATCCCTGGACATGTCCTGTCCCACTAGCAGGACAGAGGTGGCAGCACAGTGGTATACAGTTGGAAGGGAGTTGCTCTGGGAGTCCTCAACATTGACTCTGGTCCCTATGAAGTCTCATGGCTTCAGGTTAGACATGGGCAAGGAAACCTACTGATTACCACATACCTTCCTCCCTCAGCTGATGAATCGGTACTCCTCCATTTTGAATAACACTTGGAGGAAGCACTGAGGATGGCAAGGGCACAAAATGTACTCTGGGTGGGGGATTTCATTGTCCACCACCAAGTGTGGCTCGGCAGCAGTACTACTGATCGAGCTGGTCGGGTCCTAAAGAACATAGCTGCTAGACTCGGTCTGCAGCAGGTGGTGAGGTGGCAATAGTACTGAAGACTTGTGCTCCAGAACTTGCCGCTCCCCTAGCCAAGCTGTTCCAGCACAGTTACAACACTGGTATCTACCCGACAATGTGGAAAATTGCCCAAGTATGTCCTGTATACAAAAAGCAGGACAAATCCCACCTGGCCAATTACCGCCCCATCATTCAACTGTCAATCATCAGTAAAGTGATGGAAGGTGTCATCAACAGTGCTATCAAGCAGCACCTGCTCGGTGATGCCCAATTTGGCTTCTGCCAGGACCACTCAGCTCATGATCCCATTACAGCCTTGCTTCAAACATGGACAAAAGAGCTGAATTCCACAGGTGGGAATGGCAGCCCTTGACATCAAGGCTGTATTCGACCAAGATGGGCAACAAGGAGACCCAGCAAAACTGGAATCAATAGGTATCGGGGGCAAACTCTGGTGTTTGGAGTCATACCTGACACACAGGAAGATGGTCGTGGTTGTTGGTGGTCAATCATCTCAGCTCCGGGACATCTCTGCAGGAGTTCCTCAAGGTAGTGTCCTTGGCCCAAACATCTTCAGCTGCTCCATCAATGACCTTCCTCCCTTCATAAGGTCAGAAGTGGGGATGATTGCACAATGTTCAGCACCATTCACAACTCCTGAGATACTGAAGCAGTCCATGTTCAAATACAACAAGATCTGGACAATATCCAGGCTTGGGCTGACAAGTGGCAAGTGACATTCATGCCACTTAAATGCCAGGCTATAACCATCACCAGTAAGAGACAATTTAACCGCCCACCCCTTGACGTTCAATGGTGGGTGTATGTGGAAATGATGTTTCCTCTTGTGGGAGAATCCAGAACTAGAGGTTTGCATTTCTAGCACAAAGCTAAAGATAGTAGTTGTTTTTTTTTTCATGAGGGTTGTGTGTGTTTGGAATTTTCTGCTTTAGAGTATGGTGGGGGTAAGATAATTGAATATTTTTAAAGGCAGAAATAGATAGATTTTGGTAAGCAAAGGACTTAAAGGCTGTTGGGAGTAATATATTAGCATGGATAGAAGAGTGGTTAACTAACAGAAAGCAATGAGTGAGGATAAATGGGTATATTTCTTGTTGGCGATCAGTGGCTAGTGGTGTGCCTCAGATCAGTTTTGGGACTGTGATTGTTTACAATTTATATAGATGATTTACAGTTGGAGACCAAGTGTAGTGTGTTACAGTTTGCAGATAAGACTATATGGTAGAGTAAAGTGTGCAGAGGGACATACGGTTACTGAGTGGGCAAGGGTCTGCTGGATGGAGTACAGTGTTGGTAAATGTGAGGTCATCCATTTTGGTAGGAATAACAGCAAAATGGACTATTATTTAAATGGTGAAAAATTGCTGCCTGCAGAAGGACCTGGATGTCCTTGTGCATGAATCACAAAAAGTTGGTTTGCAGGTGCAACAGGTAATTAAGGCAAATGGAATATTGTCCTTCTTTGCTAGAGGGATGGAGTTTAAAAATAGGGAGGTGCTGCTTCAGCTGTGTAGGGTGCTGGTGAGGCCCCACCTGGAGTACTGTGTACAGTTTTGGTCTCCTTACTTGAGAAAAGATATACTGGCACTGGAGGGGGTGCAGTAGAGGTTCATGAGGTTGATTTGGAATTGAGAAGGTTGCCTTATGAGGAGGGGCTGTACTCATTGGAATTTAGAAAAATGCGGAGTGTTTTTATAGCAACATGTAAAATAATGAAGGGAATAGATAGGAAAGAAACAGGGAGGTTGTTTCCACCAGCAGGTGAAACTAGAACTAGGGGCATAGCCTCAAAATCAGGGGGAGCGCATTTAGGACTGAGTTGAGGAGGAACTTCTTCATCCAACCTTGTGAATCTGTGAATTCCCTGCCCAGTGAAGTAGATAAGGCTACCTTGTTGAATATTTTTCAGGCAAGGATAGAGAAATGTTTGAACAGTTAAAGGAATTAATGGTTATGGTGATTGGGTGGGTAAGTGGAGCTGAGTCCATGAAAAGATCAGCCGTGATCTTATTGAATGATGGATCAGGCTTGATGGGCCAGATGGCCTACTCCTGCTCCTATTTCTTATGTTTTAATGAGTAGATGGAAATGTGGATTTCAAAACACAAACAGATCAGCCATGATCTTATGAATGCCTGACATTGCTTTTGATTCATTTGTTTGTAGAAGTTCACGTCAGAAGCAATGACAGCAAAAAGTAGAATGCAGAAATGAAGGATTTTGATTCTGGGCTAACTTCTAATAGCCTGAATTTTTTTCCAATATTCTTTCATTGGAGTGAGCAATATGGATTCATTGCTCATCCCTTATTGCCCTTGAACGGAGTAGCTCACTGGGCCATTTCAGAGGCCAGTTAAGAGTCAAGCACATTGGCATGAGTCTGGAGTCACATGTAGTTCAAACTCAAGTGAAGATAGCAGATTTCCCTACCTAAAGAGTGAGCCAGATGTGTTTTTATATCATAGAGAGAATTATGGAGAAACTCAGTAGGGTCTTGCAGTATTTGTGGTGAGAGAGATAGAGTTAACATTTCAAGTCCACTGTGACTTCGTCAGAAAGACGTACAGCATGGAAACGGACCCTTCTGTCCAACTCGTCCATACTGACCAGATATCCTAAATTAATCTAGTCCCATTGGCCAGTATTTGTTGATATCCCTCTAAACCCTTCCTATTCATATACCTATCTTGATGCCTTTTAAATGTTGTAATTGTACCAGCCTCCACCACTTCCACTGGTAACTCATTCCATACATGGACCACCCCCTGCGTGAAAGAGTTTCCCCTTAGTTCCCTTTTAAGTCCTTCCCCTCTCACCTTAAACGTATGCCCTCCAGTTTTGTACTCCCCTATCCTGGGGAAAAGACCTTGACTTCATCCTATCCATGCCCCTCATGATTTTATAAACTTCCATAAAGTCACCCTTAGCCCCTGACGCTCTGGGGAAAATAGCCTTCAGCCTATTCAGTCTTTCTGTATAGCTCAAACTTTCCAACCCTGGCAATATCCTTGTAAATCTTTTCTGAACCCTTTCAAGTTCACAACATCCTTCCTAAGGCAGGGAGACCAGAATTGAACGCAGTACTCCAAAAGTAGCCTAATCAAAGTCCTGTACATCTGCAACATGACCTCCCAACTCCTATACACAATTCACTGACCAATAAAGGCAAGCGTACTAAACGCCTTCTTCACTACCCTGTCTACCTGCGACTTCAAGGAATTATGAATCTGCACTCCAAGGTTTCTTTGTTCAGCAACATTCCCCAGGACTTTACCATTGAGTGTATAAATGCTGCCTTGATTTGCCTTACCAAAATGTGGCACCTCACATTTATCTACATTAAACACCTTCTGCCATTCCTTGGCCTATCTGATCAAGGACCCGTTGTGCTCTGAGATAACCTTCTTCGCTGTCCACTGCGCCACCAATTTTGGTGTCAACTGCAAGCTTACTAACTATACCTCCTACATTCACATCCAAATGATTTGTGTAAATGACAAAAAGCAGTGTACCCAGCACCAATCCTTGCGGCACACTGCTAGTCACAGGTTTCCAGTCCAAAAAGCAATCCTCCACCACCACCACCCCCTGTCTCCTACCTTCGAGTCAATTTTATATCCAAATGGCTAGTTCTCCCTGTATTCCATGCAATCTAGCACTTTTAACCAGTCTACCATGTGGAATCTTGTCAAACGCTTTGATGAAGTTCATATAGACAATGTCCAACGGTCTGCCTTCACCACTCCTCTTCGTCACTTCTTCCACAAACTCAATCAAGTTAGTGAGACACGATTTCCCATGCACAAGGCCATGACTATCTCAAATCAGACCTTGCCTTTCCAAATATATGTAAATCCTGTCTCTCGGAATCCCCTCCAACAACCTGCCTACCATGGATGTCGGGCTCACCAGTCTATGGTACCCTGGCTTTTCCTTACTACCTTTCTTAAATAATGGCGCCACATTAGCCAACCTCCAGTCCTCTAGCACCTCACCTGAGGCTATCGATGATACAAATATCTCTGCAAAGGGTCCAGCAATCACTTCTTTAGCTTCCCACAAAATTGTAGGGTACACCTGATCAGGCCCCAGGGATTTATCCACCTTTATGCGTTTTAAGACAATAGCAGTCCCAGTCTTTGTTTGGAAAGTTAAAATCCCAACCTTTACCACCCTATTATTCTTACAGATAATTGAGATCTCCTTGCAAGTTTGCTTCTCAATTTCCTGCTGACTATTCGGTAGTCTATAATACAATCCCAATAAGGTGATCATGCCTTTCTTATTTCTCAGTTCCACCCATATAACTTGACTGAATGTACTCCCCAGAATATCCTCCCTAAGTACAGTTGTAATGTAATCCCTAATCAAATGTGCCCCTCCCCCTCCCCCTCCCCATTTGCCTCTTTTCTGTCCTTCGTATAGCATCTATACTCTGGAACATTAAGCTGCTAGTCCTGTCCATCCCTGGGCCACGTCTCTGTAATAGCTATAATATCCCAGTCCTATGTTCCCAACCATGCCCTGAGTTCATCTGCCTTACCTTCAGGCCTCTTGCAATGAAATAAATGCAGTTTAATTTATCAGTTTTACCTCATTCTTTGCTTTGCTCCTTCCTGCCTCGACTGTTTGACTTGCTCCTTTTACACCAGCCTCAGACTGATCTCTTTCTCACTATCTCCCTAGGTCCCACCGCCTCCCCGCCTCCCCTCCCCTTACTAGTTTAAGTCCTCCCGAGCGGCTCTAGCAAATCTCCCTGCCAGTATATTAGTCCCCATCCACTGCAGGTGCAACTGGTCCTCCTTATGCAGGTCATTTCTACCCCAAAAGAGATTCCAATGATCCAAAAATGTGTATCCTTCTCCCCTGCACCAGCCCCTCAGCCACACATTCATCTATTTTATCCTCCTATTCTTATTCTCACTAGCATGTGATACCGAGAGTAATCCAGATATTACTACCCGCGACAACCTACTTTTTAATTTCCTATTGCCTAATTTCCTGTTTTCTCTCCTCAGAACATCGTCCTTTTCTCTTCCTATGCCATTGGTTTCAGTGTGTACAATTACCTCCTGCTGATCCCTGTCCCCTTTGACAGTATTCTGCACTCTCTACGCGACATCCTTGATCCTGGTGCCCAGGAGGCAACACACCATTCTGATATCTTGTTGCTAGCTGCAGAAACATCTGTCTGTGCTCTGCCTAAGGAGTCCTCTATCACAATTGATTGCTTGGAACCTGACGTATCCCTTGTTAGAGTAGAGCCAGTCTCAGTACCAGAAACTTGGCTGTCAGTGCTACACTCCCCTGAGAGTTCACCTCCCCCCTACATATTCCAAATCAGCATACTTATTTGACATGGGGATAGCCACAGAAGACTCCTATGCTACCTGCCTGCCTCTCCCACCTTTCCTAGAGGTAACCCATCTATCTGACTGTATCTGTGGTTTTTCTACCTCCCTGAAACTGCCATCCATCACACCCCTGGCTCCTGTAAATTCCTCATTGCCTCCAACTACTGCTGCAACCAATCCATGTGATCTGATAGGATTCACAACCAAACACACTTCCTGCGTAAACTGTTCAGAACTTTGAGTTTTAATAACAATTTATTATGGATCAATTATTGTTGTTATTACTGAAATTAACTCTAATTCCAGATTTTATCAATTGAATTTAAACTCACCAGTTGCTCTAATGGAATTTGAATCCATGTCCCCAGAGCATTAGCCTCGGCCTCTGGATTACACTAGCATGTTGTTCCCTGAAATCCCCATTAGGCATGTTAACATCTGCCAGGAATAGGGTCATATGGTAACATCCCTACTATTTTGATCCTAGCTAATAGTTATACTGAACAGGTCAGATCTCAGAATGAAACCTGTCTCATGTTTTATTTTTGTGATTGTATAGTGGTCAGTTATTGAACATACTCACAAGAATCTGAAGTGGGGCTTGAATGTGCAACCTTCTTACTTGGGTTTGAGAGTGCTGTGCATTGAGCCAATCTGACCCTGTTGGAATTCATGTTATTATTCAAGATTAGATTTGATGGGTGGATAATGGGTGTAGGACAAACAAATGTCATTGGGGCTATTTATGGGAAGGTAAAAGGTATGGGAAAACTTGGGATAAATAGTATTATTTCCATGTTGTTTCTTCTGTGTATTTCTATATGCAGTGCAATTTCCATAGACCCCTTACAAAAGCTGTGTCATTATTTCTTTCTTAAGTTTATGACTATTCATCTTTTTAAATTAAATATATTCATTTAGTAGCCAATTACTAACAAAAACTCACAGGACTTCCAAGTCAACATTTAAAATTAACAATAACCCAGTTGAACTCTATGACAGGTAATATTGAAACTCAGTGTTCAATAGGTGCATTTGTTTTACAATTCCATATACATTACAGTTGGGTTGTCAGTTTTCCTCCCGTTTAACCTTTGAGAAATATTTAAATTGTTAGCTTCTGAAAGCTCTAATTAATGATATTGTTCTAATCAACAAATTAAACATTCTTTTGCCTTTTAAAAATTATTCTAAGCAGATCTGTCATCTAAATTTGACAATACACATAAAAATCCTTGGGCAGGCAAGTAATTGCCTCACTGGCTTACTGTAATTGAACTCTACAATTCATAACGTAGTACTTAAGGCAAAGTATATTCATATCCGATATATAAAGATGCTCAGCCTTTTTTGTGTAAATAGTTTATTACCCAAGAAAGTTCAATAACTGAAGCATTAATAAATTCCAGTGATATTGTCTCCTTTGCTTGTTGGGAGCAGCAAAATACATCTTTCTCTGTCACCCTATAACATTTAATTGCAAATAAAACAAAATACTGCAGATTCTGGAAATCTGAAACAAACACAGGGAATGCTGGAGAAACTCCGGTCTGGCAGTGTCTGTGGAGAGAGAAACAGAACTAATGTTTTGAGTGCAGTATGACTTCTTCAGAACTCCTGAAGGAGATTCACGTTTTATTCCAATGTCTATTAGCCAGAATTTAATCAGAGAATTAAACAAAACTTCTAAAGTGTTTACAGCACAGAAATAGGCAAATTAGCCCAATCTGCCAATGAGATTTGCAAATATCTGTCTACTTCAAAGGTTTCATAAAATGACCAGTGTCTGTGGTCTGAGCAGGAATGTTTAATTAATTGGGTCATAAGCATCTTGTATTTATTTTTTTTAATTTATGTTTAAGTCTTTTGGCTTCTCCAGAATATTTTCCATAATCTTGTCCAGTGTTACCTTGTCCTTGGATTTTGGCGCTATTAGTGCTGCATCTCCGCCAACTCCATAAGGTGTTCTTGATCAGTGCAGTAGAGAATTCTTCAGTGTCTGTTTACCCTACCTGGGACTTGAAATGTGTTCTTCGGTATAGGGGTTGCATTTTGTAAAAGCTCTGTTTTTACATTTATAGTAGATCTGCCTGTCCTTGGTTCTGCCATTCAACAATGCAAAGCATTGTCAAGAAATTGCTACACACGGCCTCATCAGACGAAGCTGAAACCACAACGTTGGTGCACACTAGATCATGAGCTGGAGGAATTCCTAATTCCACGGAAATTGTCTGTTAGTCCGTTAGAAAGTTGGCTAACAATTGAATACCATCTACCAAGGTTGGATCAAAACCATGAGCAAAGTATTGGGATAAATGTCCATTCTTCTCAGCAGTATGACTGTCCTTCAGCTGAGGAATTTCTACCTTTTGGTGAGAATGGAGAAGTGATGAACTGCAATAAAGATGAAATCCAGTGTAAAAATGTACTGAAAATTCGCAGAAGAAAAATGAATAGGCATAAGTACAAAAAGTTTTTAAAACGTACAAAGTTTTTACGCAGACGAATCAAAGAAAACCGTAGACGAAGGCGACAAGTAAGTTAATGTCACGATTTGGTTTTGGATATCTCAACTTTGTTCATAAGCCACTCAGGCAAATAGGATAATTCCTGTGCAAATTTTATTGAAATGACATTTTAATCAAACATTTTGAATAACTTTCATGAGTAATAGTTCTACACTTGATATGCCCGACTAGTCGTGCCAATAATGAACTAAAGGGTATCGTCACACCACTCAACTATTGAAGCTTGTGTTGGGCTGTGCATATTATAACCATGTTAGGCCTCTTGATAAATGTTAACACGAATATATAAGTACATTCCCTCTCCTTTACATTTTCCGCAACTCATTCTGGGGTTCATGGATGCCAACATATGTAGCAAGAAATAGGAGCAGAATTAGATTCAACCCTTTAACCTGTAAAACCTGTAACCTGAGTAAAATCCTGACTGATCTCTCTCAGTTTCAAATCAACCATTACCTCCAGCATTTTAGATAGCTGTCTATTCTTCATGTCTCATACAACTGAGAATGTGAGTGGTTATTTGAAAGTTTGTGTATGAGGAGATGGGGAAGAAATCATAGCTTCACTCAACCTTGTGCTCACCGAAATATGCACAGACAGGTAGTACAATGAGTCACTAGATAGCAATCAGAAGCATGGGCAATAGATGATCTTCCCTATCCTGTCCCTCCTTTTCCAAAAGCTAGTTATTCTTCCAGCCCAAGGCCAGCTAATTTAGTCCATATTACCATTTGAATTTCACACATTCTTGTCCTTACCTGCATGGCTCAGTATCAAAACATATGTTGTATTTTCCCAGTCAAGTATCAGCAGGGTGCAAAACACATCTTTGGAAAATAAGTTTTGTAAGCAAGCATACTTGTATTCTGTCCATATACATGGTGAAATTTTAAAAATGAAGGTTGAAAGTAACTAAATATCTCATGTCCCTTTTTAACCTCCTGGGGAACAAGTACCAATGATTAAATTACACTTTTCTATTCTGGGTTTGGGACCTAATTTTATTACCCTGTGTTTCACAGATAAAGTTTGAGAGAGATTTGAAGCGAATCTGGAAGAAGGCTGGACTGAAAAAACCACCAGAAGGCTGGCAGGCACCGAAGATATTTGTGAAACGATACCATGGAAAATCTGAATGACACTGGAAACAACAGCTGTGTTCTATATAAAGCGAAACAAAATGTTTTGAAGAATAGCTGTGTGGAGCCTTCTTTTTCAACTGTAGTCTAATTATTCATATTGCCTTTGTGTGAGGAGGAAATGTGGCCAAATATGAGAGAAAATACATGTTTCACTAATAATTTTGGACATTAAGATCTAACTCCTGAATTAAATGAGGTTTTCATCATATCAACAATGACTTACTTGTAGTTAATGCTTTCAAACCATAAAATGTCTCAAGACTAGCCATATGAACATTGTCAAACAAAATTTGGCATTGACCTACATGAGAAGTTAGAAGATGTAACCAAAAGCTTAGGTGAAGTATGTTTTAGCAATGTCTTAACGGAGGAGAGAAAGGTTGAGGGAGAGTATTCCATACCTTAGACTTCCAACAACAGAAGGCATGGCAACCTGGGGCTGTGCGTCAGGGAGGATTAAAGGAGTGCAGAGAGGGAAGATGTTTGTGGTAGTTGGAGGTCAATCATTCAATCATCTCAGTCCCAGCATTTCACTGTAGGCATTCCTTGGGGTAATGCCCTAGGCCCAGTCATCTTCAGCTGCTTCATCAATGACCTCTCCATTATAAGGTTAGAAGTGGGAATGTTCACTGATGATTGCTCAATATACAGCATCATTCATGACTCCTCAGACTCTGAAACAGTCCATGTTCAAATGCAGTAATGCACAATATCCTGGCTTGGGCTGACAAGTGGCAAGTGACAGTCATGCCGCTCAAATGCCAGGCAATGACCTTCTTCAAAAAAAGAGAATCCAGTCATTGCCCCTTAACGTTTGATGGCATTACCATTCAATGAATTCCCCCACTATCAACATTTTGGGAGTTATCATTGGCCACAAACTGAACCTGACTGACTATATAAACACTGTAGCTATAATAACAGCTCAGAGGCTGGGAGTTCTGCAGTGAGTAACTCAACTCCTAACTCCTCAGGATTGTCCATCATCTACAAGGCATAATTCTGGAATGTGATGGAATGCTTGACCCAATCCAGCTCATAGCTGCCTGCTTGATTACCACCCCACCCTTGACCTTCAACATTTACTCCTTCCAATGCCTTGTGTGCCAATTGCAAGATGCATTACTGCAACTCCCCTTAGACAGTATCTTCCAGACTCTCAACCTTCCTCGTGTTGAAGGACAACGACAGCAAATAATACGGTTAAGTTTAAACTTACCTCCCAAGGGTAGACATCATCTTGATTGGGAACTATACTGCCATTCCCTTATTGTCATTGGGTCAAAATCCTGGAATTCCCTTCTAAACAGAACTATCAGTGAACCTATAGCACATGAATTGCAACAGTTCAAGAAGACAGCTCATTCCCAACTTGTCAAGTCGTAATTCGGGATGGGCAGCAAATGCAGACCTATCAGATATTTCAGTAATCCTCACATCCTGTAAATTAATTAAAACCAAAATATCAAGGAGTTTGAACAGCTGAATGGTGTTACAGAGAAAAAGGGGGATAAGACCATTGAAACATTTGAAAACCAGGTGAGAATTTTAAAATGGAAGCATTGCCCAACCATGGGTGATGCGAATGGGGATTGGTGCAAGTTAGGGTAGTGGCAACAGAATTTTGGAATGCTTCAGGTTTACGGAAGGTGAAAGGAGGAAGAGCAGCTACAATAGCATTCAAATGGTCAGATGTAGAGGTTAAAAGAGCATGAATGTGGGTTGAAGCAGATGAATTAAGGCAAGAATGGAGTCAAGTGACATTAAACTGGTTTTTATACTCTATTGGGGTGTATGCATCACAGGTCAGCATTTGTTGTCCTTCCCTAATTGTTGAATAGATCACCTTGTTAGGCCAATCGAGAGAACAGTTAAGGGTCAATCCGATTCATGGTCAGTATTTTTGGGATCAGTTTTTAATTCCAGATTTATTCATTCCATTTAAATTCCATTAATTAGAATTTAGTTAATTGCTGGCTGCGCTTTGAACCCATGTCCCCAGAAAATTAACCTAATCCAGAGAGATTATTAATCTAATTATATTGCCACTGTACTGTCACCTTCCCCTAGCAGATGCTAAGCGAATAGAAGTAGGCGTTTTTGGTGATGAAGGCGATTTGTCAGACTCAGTCAAATAGGCTGCTAAAGTTGCAAGCAATCTGGCTCAACCAGAGGCAGTGGCCAGGGAAAGAACTGAAGTCTGTGGCTCAGGTATAAAGTTTGTGTTGGGGAACAAAAGACAAAGGTCTTTGATCTTTGCAATATTCAATTTCAACTCATCCAGTACTAGAAGTCAGGTAAGCCGTGAGAAATCAGATATTCAAGGGGACCTGAGAAGTAATGAGTGTTGGATGCGATTGATGTACAAACAGAATTCAACAGTTTTAGATAATGTTGCTTTGGGCAGCATTTGAGAACTAGGAGTAGGGGAAGGGGTTAAAGATAGATCACAGGGGACCCCAAAGGACACATTACAGGATTAGAAGTAACACAGTTGCAGATGATTCTCTCACTGCAACTGGATAGATAAGAATGGAGCCCGCTAAATGGGGGTGACCCAGAGAGGTGATAGTGTGGTGAACCATGTCAAGGTAGACCGCAAACAGGTTGGAAAAGATAAACAAAAAGCATTTACTATAGTGACAGGCATGATGAATGTAATTTCTAGCTTTACTAAAAGGTATCTCAGTCCGATTGTGAGTGATGTTCAAGCAGCAAGAAAATGAGTACAGATTTAGAAGGCAACAATAATAAGACTTTTGAGAGGATAATGAGATCGAAAATGATGCACTTTGACAATTTGCAATGGTGTCTTTGACAACACCTTGCAAGCCATGACTGCTGCCACCCTACAGGACGAGTGTAGCAGATTCACAGGAACACTACCACCTTCAAGTTCCCATGTAAACCTCAAACCATCCCGGATTGCAACTATGTGACCATTCTTTCACCGTCACTGGATCAAAGTCCTGGACCTCTCCCACTGCCTCCTTTAGCAGTGTGTGTGTGAATATACACATCCAATTACTCTAACAGTTCAAGAAGGCAGCTCACCACCACGTTCTACAGGGCAATTAAAGGTGAGCAACAAATTTTGGCCCAGCTAGTGACACCCAGACCCCATGAATAAATAAAATAAGTCACTTCAAGAAAATATCAGTGAGCCACATTACAAGTTTGACTGATTATTAATGCAAGTACTAACATATTCAAAATTGTTCAGAAAATGTTATCCAATCACAGAATCATATCTAACACTGCGTGTTTTTCTGTTAGGTGAAGGCTGGCTACATACTGTCTATGTTTTGCCTATTACGCACAATCAAAGGAACATGCTGTTTGACTTGACAGGCAATTGTTGAAAGCATATGGCCTTCATATGTGCATCCTTTTGCATTATCTGGGTACATGGGAGCCTACAGTTTCCCACCACTTTTTCTATGGTAAGCCTTGGCCAATTATTGACTTGCAAACAATCAGCACCATTTTCTCCTGTGGTATAAATTCCTGTGGGGAAGTGATAAAGCGGACTAGAATTTGAGAATATGGTAAAAAATTACCTGAATATTGTGGAGTATAAGGTTGGGCTGAAGACAATGAACAAACTGACTGCAGTGGAAATGTTCAGCCTTGGAAAGGTAACTAGCAAGGAGATGATGGGAGAGCTGAAGAAACAGAATGGACAGCACTGCAGATATCAGAATTTGGAGAACAGAAATATAAAAGAAAGAAGCAGGATTAGACCATACAGACCATCAAACCTACTCTATCCTTCAATATAATCACAGCTGATCTGTTTTAATTCCATTTCCTTCCCTGCCACCATGTCTCTTGATCCCACAAAATACCTAAAAACTTTGTCACTCCCAAATTTAAATACATTTAGTGGTGAGACACCCATAACTGTCTGAAGATTCACAACCATCTGACAAAAGAAATTTCTTCTCATTCTCAGTCCCAAATAATGGATCCTTTATATTGAGACTGTACTCCAATGTTCTAGATTTCTCAGCCAGTGGAAACAACTTCTCAGTGTCTATCCTGTGAAGCCCCTTCACAATTGTATATATTTCAAGTAGATCACCTCTCATTCTGTAAATTCCAGAGCGCTAAGGCAATTTACTCAGCCTTTCAGCATAGGATGACCTTCTCATCCCAAGAAAGAAATCTAGTAAATCTTTGTTGTACTGCCTCCACTGCAAATATATCTTTCATTAGATAAAGAGACCAAAACTTTACAGAGTACTCAAGTTGTTTCACCAAACCCCTATATAATTGTCGAAAGATTTCCTAATTCTTTTATTTCCCTTTGCAATGTGGTGCTCTATTAATATGCCAACTCCCTTCCTAATTACTTGGTGTACATGCATCCTGACTTTCTGTGTTCTTTGTACACGTACATCCAAGTCTCTATCAACATTTAGAAGTTTCAAGGTTTTTAAATGATTTTGCTTTTCTATTCTTAATATCAAAATGAATAATCTCATTTCCAGAGGATGCATTCACGCCTCCAACAATTCTACCATTTACTATCAAAACTCTGTCTCTCTGTCTTGGCTCCATAATCCTTAATTCATGAAGCCTGCAAAATCCATTAATCTCAGATTCCAAGTTACCAACCGAGCTATGTTTTGTGTATAGAGTACAAAATAGAGAAACATTATTAGGTAAAAAGGATAACAGAAGGAAAGTTGATGTGCAGAATAAAGGAAACACATTCTGATGTCCATTTATTATAATAATTTGAATGGTCATAAATAATTAGGTTGAGAGTGCGCAATTCTGCATGATGCATTCAAGCATGTTCCTGGAATATTGGAATTTCTGGCTTACATTTTATTCACTATCGTGTTGAACTAAGGGAAATTAAATAGCATCAGAGAAGTCCAGAGTGTTCAGAGAGAAACAGGAAAACACTCTCACTATCTCAGATGGAATTTGACAATGCTTCCACTGACAAGTCTGGGGTCAACCCCAAATAGCAACATCCAGAGTCCATCTGCTCTATGCTTTCTGTACACCTGGAATTTTGAGTCATAAACACTCTGTAAAGTTGTCCTTCAATTACTTCACAAGGAGAAAATCTAAATATTCATTTCATCGGGAAAGCAAGAAGCCTCACCTGCTGGTTGGAATTTATTTTACATGCAACTGGCAGCTCTCAGTTACATGCACAAAAATACCATCAACACTGAAATGTTTCACAACTGATCAATTTTAATATTAAAGAATATCTGTAATGTTTCTTTATACATATTGTAATGTGTATAAATCAATTTTTACATAGAATGACATAGGATTTTATAACACAGGAACTGGTTATTTGGCCCAATATGTCTTTGCTGGCGTTTGCAAGAATCCATAAAAATAAACATGATCGATATATTACTTCCTACTTCCTAATTTTTATGTACAAGGTTGGATTTAAAAATGGCAAGCTCTGCAGACCATACCTGTATAATCTGCACTTTCAATATTTTTATAACACACCAAGCAAATACATAAATTCATGCTTCAAAGGGATTTAATAAAATCTAAGTATATGAGGTTTTAATAAATAATATTTCACTTAGAAACTGCAAAGGACAATTCTATCAGTGCTGAGTAAAAATTTATTCATGAAAAACAAGCCTTCCTCTCTTCCTCCTCTCACTAAAAATTACTTCCTCTATCCCCATCTGCATGAGGATTGTGATTTATTAAGCTCCACCAGCAATCTTCTGAGACCATACCCAGTTTAACCATTCTTTCTGTAAGTGATGATTACTCACTCATGCAGGGCATTACAGTGAAAAACGTTAGGTATTCTTATCTGAAATATTCTTCCGGGTTGGATTCACTGGAAAAGTTAATCAGAAATGAGAGACCCCAATGAGATTTTCCTCTTCCTTATTGCAAAGGTGCTGAGTCCATTTGTAGGTAGCTGATGTCAGGTCATACAACATGGAATCATGGAACATATTTGTGGAATTGAATAGTTACCTACAAGGCTAGAGGAGTTTCGTTTTTAAGTGTCAGAAATATCTTAAGCTATCTAATGGAAAACAGCTAATTTGGAATCTGCTCAATAAAGTAGGTGACATTTTATTTGGGAAGAGGAAAAATGATTGGGATATATCACCCAAAGTTAATACAACTAGAGGTAGCTTGATATATTAACCACATTTAAAATGGATAGCCTCGACATGCATCAATCCTGTATACAATGGTCATTCTAGATATCACACACTTTTACAAATATTACACAAGTAGTTAGAGTCAATGCAATAAATATCATAAAAGGGAATTATATAAAATCACTGGTACATTTTAGCGACTTTGCATAATGAAGTTTTACTCAGACAAATCTTCACTGTGCCACCTTGGATTGGGATAGGGTTTGGGTGATGGGTGGGAGAAACCACAGTTCTCCAACATCCACAACACTGGGTTATTGTGTCAGCTTAAATTAAAATGAAGTTCCTCTGATTTTCTCCCCTCCTGTCCTAACACTGCTTGCTATGGTTTGTCAAAACTGGTGAGGCTCAATCATCTACCTCACCCAAACAGGCATCCTTCACAAGTAATTCCAGACAATGAGCTTCGGCTCTGGGGAGGTATCAGAACTAAGCAATCTACTAACTCTCCATTGACAGCTTCTTCCAAACCTACAACGTCTACCAGAGTGGACAAACAGGAGGCTGGAAGAACATAGTAAGGCAGACAGCATCTGGAGGAAAGGGGCAGTCAACGTTTCAGGTATTACCCTTCTTCAGGACTGGATGTGGGGGTGGGGGAGCTACAGATAAAGAGAGCGGGGGAGGGGTGGAGGTGGAATGGTGGTGATGGGTGGACACTGGTAGTAGGTACGACCTGGTTGATCAATGGGAGAGATGAATCCAGTTGGTGGGCTGGAAGGGAAGGTCACAGGTTGAATGGAAGGGAGGAGCTGGGGCTGGAAGGGGAGCCGGGGGATGAGTGGGAAGGTTATTTGAAATTGGAGAACTCAATGTTGAATCCTCCGGGCTGTAGGGTGCCCAGGTGGAAGATAAGGTGTTGTTCTTCAAATTTGCATTCTGAGTCGCTGTGACACTGGAGGAAGCTGAGGATGGACATCATAGATCATAGAATCCCTACAATTTGGAAACAGGCCCTTCGGCCCAACAAGTCCGCACCGACACTCAGAGCATCCCACCCAGACCCATCCCCCTATAACTCACCTAATCTACACATCCCTGAACACTATGGGCAACTTAGCATGACCAATCCACCTAGCCTGCACATCTTTGGACTGTGGGAGGAAACTGGAGCACCCATAAGAAACCCACACAGACACGGGGAGAATGTGCAAACTCCACACAGACAGTCAATCGAGGGTGGAATTGAACCCGGGTTCCTAGTGCTGTGAGGTAGCAGTGCTAACCACTGAGCCACCGTGCCACATGTTGGAGGGGGAGTGGGACGGAGAGTTGAAATGGGTGGTGACCGGGAGGTTAGTTTGGCCATTATGGGCCAGGTGAAGATGTTCAGTGACACGGTCACCTAGTCTACATTTGGTCTCACCAATGTAGAGAAGACCACATCGGGACCACTGGATGCAATAGACTAGGTTTGAGGAGATGCAGGTGAAGCTCTGTCTCAGTTGGAAGGACTGTTTAGGGCCCTGAATGGAGGTGAGAGAGGTACAGGGGAAGGTACCGGGTGGGTTGGAGTGGTTGGTGCAAACTAAGGAGTGGCAAAGGGAATGGTTCTTGCGGAAGGCAGAGAGGGGTGGGGAGTGGAAGATGTTCCGGGTGATGGGGTCTAATTGGAGTTGGCAGAAGTGTTTGAGGATGATATGTCGGATGCGGAGGCTGGTGGGGTGGAAAGTGAGGACAAGGGGGACCCCATCTTTATTATGTTTTGGGGGGGAGTGGTTAAGAGCTGTGGAGCAGGGAATGGAGGAGGCGCGGTGGAGAGCTGTCTGGATGACAGAGGGAGGAAAAAAGTGTTGTTTGAAAAAGGCGGACATCCGGGATGCTTGGGAGTAGAACTTCTGCTCGTCAGAGCAATGCAATGGAGACGGAGGAATTGGGAAAATGGGATGGAGTTTTACGCAGAATATAGTGTAGGAGGAGGTGTAGTCTAAGTAGCTATGGGAGTCTGTGGGTTTATCGTACATGTTGTTCAGTAAACAGTCTCCAGAAATGGAAACAGAGAGGTTAAGAAAGGGGAGGGAGGTGTCTGAGATAGACCAAGTGAATTTGAGGGTGGGGTGGAAGTTGTTAGCAAAGTTGATAAACTGCTCCAGTTCAGTCCCCACACTCTCCACCAACCACTCCAACCCACACGGTACCTTCCCCTGTAACCGTAAAAGATGCAACACCTGCCAACATACTACCACCTCCTTCCCTTCCATTCAGGGTCCTAAACAGTCCTTCCAATTGAGACAGAGCTTCACCTTTGTCTCCTCCAACCTAGTCTGTTATATTCGGTGCTGCCGATGTGGTCTTTTCTACATCGGTGAGACCAAATGTAGACTAGGTGATCGTTTTGCCGAGCATCTTCACCTAGGCTGTAACAGCCATACTAAACTCCCCGCCCCACGCCCCTTCTGACATGTCTGTCCTTGGCCTCTTCCAGTGTCGCAGCAACTCGAAATGCAAATTTGAAGAACACCTTATCTTCCTCCTGGGCACCCTACAGCCTGGAGGACTCAACATTGAGTTCTCCAATTTCAAGTAACCTTCCCATCAATCCCTTGCCTCCCTTTCCAGCCCCACCACCTCCTTCTATTCCACCTTCTGACCCTCCCTTCCAGCCACCAACAGGATTCATCTCTCCCATTGACCAACAAAGTCATACCTACCACCAGTGCCCACCTATCAGCAGCATTCCTCCTCCCCCCCCCCCCCCCCCTTATCGCCAGGTCCCCCTACCCCCACATCCAGTCCTGAAGAAGGGTAATACACAAAACATTGACTGCTCCTTTCCTCCAGATGCTGCCTGGCTTGCTGTGTTCTTCCAGCCTCCTGTTTGTCACCTTGGATTCTAGCATCTGTAGTTTTTTTGTCTCTAACCACAACTTTAACCAGCTTGAAAGACAAGGACAGTGGATGCATAGGAAAACTACCACCAGCAAGTCCCTCTCCAAGTCACACATTATCCTGACTTAGAACTATATCTCTATACCTTCACTGTGGTTGAGTCCACAGGCTTCCTAACACACTGTGGTTGCTAAACCATTGGAATGCAGCTCACCACCACTCTATTAATTACAATTAGAGAAGTGAAATAGATGTTGGCCAGTAACATCCACATCCCATGAAAGAGTTTTATATTAAAAAGAACTGAATTCTGCACATCTTATACTTCCTCCTGTTTCCACTGTCCAGCATGATCTGTTTGTTATTGTGGAGAAAGAGAAGCCTTTTCCTCTTCCTGGCCTAGAGCAATGTACCACTAACATTTTAGTGAAGCCAATTCAGCATGACTTGAACCTGGGAACTTCTCTGTGGCTCAGTTTAAATAACATATATGTCAACCAGGACAGGGGAATGTTGGCAAGTACAGGGTAAGCCCATCTAAAAACATGGTCTTTCACTTACATCCGAAAATTACAAGTGGCAGTGCTTCTGGTAATAAATATCAGAATTGTCATGTGCTCTTGGTCCCACTTGCAGCCCTGGAATTTATCTGTCTGTATCCTTAGGGCCTTGGACATTTTCGAACACAGTGACAGTCGCAGTCAGCTGGAGAGCAGTGCACAAGTCTCGGGAAAAGCTGGTCATAGTTTAGAGGAGCAACTTGTCCAGCTACCTGCAGGAATGGCTGACATGGAAACTTCTCCTGTTGAGTTTCTCAGGATTGTTAGATGCCATATGAGAAAATTCCCTAAAAATATCATGATACGTTTCATCACCTGCAAGCAGAAAGAAAATGGACTTAGAAGGAAAAGATTTACTTGAAATTATGAATAATTTATGAGGCAATAGTCAGGGCACAATACGAGTACAAATATGTGTGCCAACTTAATGACCCATTAAAGCCACAGAGAACGCACTGCCAGTCTGCAGGATAATACCAGGAATGGGAACTGAGAAACCTGAAATATATGGGCGCCAAATAGATTGAATAAAAGGATTTTAAAATTGTGAAGGACTTTAAAGTAGTGAATGGGAAAAGTTTTTGGTGACACAGCAAATGCTTATGATTTGTTTTGTACCTTTCAAAGGGTGGAAGGAGATTCATTCGTGGCTTTTTAAAGAAAAAACAGTTGTCTCAGAACCTGAAGAGAAAATCAAAATTGCAGGACCATAGGGGAGTGAGATTAGCTATATTGTTCTTACATAGACCAGACAAAGACACAATGGGTTTGAATGGCCTTCTTCTGTGTTACAAATACTCTATGATTTCATGATTGCTTCCATTGGTTGGACAATCAGTAATGGGCAGTCATCAATTTATAAGTGTCACTAAAAGACTGAGGTGAGATGGTAGGAGAAATTCAAAGTGTTTTAGCGAAGATCTGTAGCTTGGGTTGTAGCTGGAGTTGTTGGTTGGTTCATGGAGCTGACTGGTTTTCATGCAAACGTTTCGTCCTTCCTCAAAATGACATCCTCAGTGCTGCCTAGCCTCCATTGAAACGCTGTTGTTCTGTCCTGTTCTGAATTTAAATGGTCCAGTTTGTCATGGTGGGTAGTTCTGTTTCTGGTTTTGCTCCACAGTGGCATGTAGATGGAGTCTATTTCAACATGTTTGTTTATGGTACTAGTGGTTGAAAACCAGGCTTCCAGGAATTCTTGTGATTGTCTTTGTTTTGCTTGTCCTAGTACTGTTACGATGTCCCAGTTAAACTGATGTCTGTCTTTGTCAGAGTGAATGGAAACGAGGTCGAATTCGTTGTGCTGTTTTGCTGAGAGTTGGTGTTAGGGTATCTTGGTGGCGAGTTTCCTGCCTGTCTGTCCTATGTATTGCTTCTCACAGTTGCTGCATGGTATTTTGTATATCGCATTTGTCCTGCTCATTGTGGATATGGGGTCTTTCATCTTTGACAGTCACTGGCAAAGTGTCGGTTTGTGTGCTATCGTTATTCCAAGAGGTTGTAGGAGCCTTGCTGTCAGTTCTGATATGTTTCTAATTTAGGGTAGGTTGGCCAGTGTGTTGGAGCATGCAGTGTCTTGTTGTTGTTTATTTGCCAGGCATCAGCAGATGAAGCTGTATAGGTGTTCCTCTTCATTTTTGCATAGCTCTGGGGAGTTGCATTGTGTTATTACTCATTTAAACAGAGTCTTGACACAGCTCTGTTTGTGGATGCTGGGGTGGTTTATTTATTAACAAAATGCACACACCGGACATTCCCCTCAGATCCATAGTTTCCTTGCCAGGCACACCGACACACAGGCTAGCCACACAGCTACATCGATTGAAATACCTCACCAACGGATCGACCCACTCCATACATTCTGCACAGGAATTCCTGAATAACATCAGAAACATTAAAATCGACAAGGATGAAATGACGGTCTCCTTTGACATTACGGCACTATTCACCTCTATCGACAAAACACTAGCAAAGGAGACACTGGCTGCATTACTAGACAATCCAAAAACACAGACTATCAGCAAGGACAATATGCTGAAATTACTAAACCTATGCTTTACCACTCACTTTGTCTTCAATGGCCAGGTACATGAACAAATTAATGGGACTCCCATGGGTTCACCCATCTCCGGTCTTATAGCAGAAGCAGTTATGCAAAGACTTAAAACACACAGCCCTCCCCCACATCCAGCCTAAACTATGGGTCAGGTACGTGGACGATACTTTTGTGATCATTAAACAAGCAAAGTTAGAAGAAACACACCACCTTATTAACAGCATATTCACCAGGATCAAGTTCACCAGGGAAGAGGAGAACAACAATCAACTCCCGTTTCTAGACGTAATGGTGGAACAAATGAACAAGTGAATTCCTTACCAGCGTGTACAGAAAGACTACACATACAGACCAAATCCTGAATTACAACGGGAACCACCCCAGCATCCACAAACAGAGCTGTGTCAAACCTCTGTTTAAACGAACAATAACATACTGCAACACCCTGGAGTAATGCAAAAATGAAGAGGAACACCTATACAAAGTCTACGCAAATGATGGGTATCCTAACAGCTTCATCCGCCGATGCCTGGCAAATAAACAACACCAAGAAGACACTGTATGCCCCAACACACTGGCCACCCTACCCTATATTAGAAACATATTGGAACTGACCACAAGACTCCTACAACCTCTTGGAATAAGGATAGCACAAACCAACACTTCGCCAGTTACCGTCAAAGACGAAAGACCCCATATCCACAATGAGCAGGACAAATGCGATATACAAAATACCATGCAGCAACTGTGAAAAGCAATACATAGGACAGACAGGCAGGAAACTCGCCACCAAGATACACTAACACCAACTCTCAGCAAAACAGCACGACCAATTCGCCCTCGTTTCCATTCACTCCAACAAAGAATCAGTTTAACTGGAAACAATGTAGCGGTACTAGGACAAGCGAAACAAAGACAAGCACGAGAATTCCTGGAAGCCTAGTTTTCAACCACTAGTACCAGAAACAAACATGTTGAAATAGACCCCATCTACATGTCACTGTGGAGCAAAACTTGGAAACAGAACTACCCACCATAACAGACTGGACCGTACAAATTCAGAACAACAGTGCTTCACCAGAGGCTAGGCAGCACTGAAGATGTCATCTAGATGGAGGACGAAATGTTTGCACAAAAACCAGACAGTTTGGCCAACCAATCAACAACTCCAGATATTCAAAATGCTGGAACATGCAAATAATTACAGGGAAGGAGACCATTGTAAGGGAAAGCGAAGTAGAAAATACATTGTTATGGGAAGATAGTTAGGTGGGAGTAGCCTTTTATTTTCACCAAAGCGTCAACACTGAAGAAATGGGATAAATGGCCTATGTCTACTGAAAACCTCTCTGGTGTTTACAGCAGTATTATTTTCCCCAGCCAATTTTTTTCCACCACCCTCTCGTCCAGTGGCTCTGGGTAATGATGAAAGAAAGGTCCAGGGCATTGTGTACTGTTGCCATTTATAGTTCTAAAAGGCACTGCAGCTTCAGGTACATACTGTATTGATGGTTAATAGAAGTAGGTGTCATAATTTAGCATTAATATGACCCAAGTTCTGCCTGTCATTGTCAATATTGTTTTCAGTAGCAATGTGGCCAATTCCCAGTTGTGTCTACATTGAGATCTGTTAGTTTGGTGCAGTTCCTTTTAATTGTTTGCTTCTGAATTTCTTAACTGCTGCAGTGAATTTTTTTGTCCGGTGCTTTCTCACTGTTGTTATTTTGTTGCCAGGGCTCCAGAGGGCAGCATCTACTTATTATCTGCTGCTGATGGAGGCAGTGCAGAAATGTAGCTGTTTCTTGTCTCATCCAGCATTTAAGAGAAAATCCGCACAAAGTCAGAAACGCAACAAATGGGTGGCAAGTCAGTCTCGCCCATCATGCCATAAATCTCCCATCGTATGTGACATGAGACGGTCGAAACTAGGGGAAGGTAAGTTATTTCCAAAATCTTTTTACAGGTAGTTCTCCTATAACATGATAGTTGCGTTCTTGTGTGACCTCACACTATAGAAAATCATGTTATAGGGAAATTGCTGTACTGCACAGTAGAAAGTTTGTGTTATCCAAACAGCGTCCACTATTCTTCAATCTTCACTATTCTTCAGCCAATTCACATCAATGAAACACACGTTATAGCAGAAATACCTGTACATGTTCAAAGTATGTTTTACCCAACTGTGACTTAAATGAGCTTATTGCTCAAAGCCCTTTCTAATGGACAGGAGGTAATTATGAAAATATACTTGACCTCATCCTCAATAATATGATTGCCACAAATGCATCTGGCCACATCAGTATTGGTAAGAGTGACCATGACACAGTCCTTGTGGAGACGAAGTCCTGTTTTCCCAGTAAGGATACATGCCATCATGTTGTGTGACATTGTCACTGTACTAAATGAGATTGATTTTGAACAGATCTAGTAACTCAAGACTGGGCATCCATGAGGTGCTGTGGACCATCAACAGCAGCAGAATTGTACTCCAGCACAATCTGTAACTTCATCGCCTGGCATAACCCCCACTCATCCATTATCATCAAGGCAGGGGATCAACCCTGGTTCAATGGAAAGTGCAGGAGGGCATGCCAGGTGCAGCAGCAAACATACCTAAAAATCAGGTGTCAACCTGAAGCTACCATACAGGACTACTTACATACCTAACAGCATAAGCAGCAAGTGATAGACAGAGGTAAGCAATTCCAATGGATCAGATCTAAGCTCTTGCCGCTGTGCCACTTCCAGTCATGAATGGTGGTGGACAATTAAACAACTCACTTCAGGAGGAGAAGGCTCTACAAGCATCCCCATTCTCTATGATTGGGGGTGGGGGTGGGGGGGCCTAACCCATCAATGCAGACATGGAGTAAAGCTGGAACATCAGCCAGAAATGCCGAGTCAATGATCCATCTCAGCCTCCCAGCGGTCCCCAGCATTACAAATACCAGGCTTCAGCCAATTCGATTCACTCCAAGTCATACCAAGAAACAGCTGGAGGCACTGGATACTGCAACGTTCCAGCTATTTGTTCTCTAGATCAGTTCCACTCTAGCAGGGAGTGTTTTTTTGGTGGGGGAGGGTGCACAGCCAAAATGGATGAAGATGCTCTGTAATCACTCATTTAAAAGAGGCAAAGCCATTGTAAAGAAGACCGTGTACAAGGTTTGGTGTAGTTTCCTGCAGGTCTCTTGTGGTTATCATGTGGTGATCATGCCCATTGTGCCCTATAGAGGGTAGAATCTGCAAGGAGCCCTTCAGC